TAGCCGCGGCCACACGCGCAATTCCGCATGGTGCTCCCACATGAGCACCGGCCACATTCCCAGCCTGGAGTGCTGCTCTCGCCGTTGCGCTGGCCACTGCCTGAAATCCAACAGTCCCTCAGGGCCGAGGTGAGGCGTTCATCGCTGCTCCTGGTTGATGCACACGCCCCCCCCCCCCCGTTCGACTGCCCGCCGAGCCGAAACCGTGCCGCACCCTCCCCACCACTCCCCTCAAAGAGCAATGCGAAATGCACCTTGCGGTAGAGCCTGCATCATGTTCGGACGCCCCGCGATCACTGTGTATTGTTGTGGCCGTTGCGACGGGCACGGGGCGGGCGTCGGCATACTGCCCCACGTGTGGAGGCCCGCCATCCCCGTCAGAGACAGGCAAAGCACAGGTCACAGCAGCATCCTGGACCATGCACGGGCGCCCTGCGGCAAGTGTGTGCTGCTCTTTATCGACAGGGATGATTGGGGCGCCTCGACACGCGCGGCGCACCTCGCAGGCGTCGCGCACGTGGCTGGCGTGTGCACTGGCTCCCGATGATGGCTGATTGCGACCCCTGCAGACGCTGAGACTCGGCTGCTGCGTATGGTGGGAGGGCGGGTGCGGGTGAGCGAGACGACCGTCCTTCGGGGGGGGGGAAGGGTAGTCTGATCCCTGTCCCATTCTACGTACACCCCCTCTCCCGCCCGAACAGCGACAAACAGGGGCCAATGCGGACCCCCCTTCCCACCACCCCTTGCAAACAAACAATGCAACATGCACGGTGCACCAGCATCGGGACCATGCGCGGGCGCATCGCGATCACGGTGCCTTGGTCTTTGACAGGGACGGCGGGGGGCAGCATACTGCCACTGTGCAATACCAAGACACCCACACCACCCCTTGCAAAAAACAATACAAAGTACATGTTCCACCACCGTCTTGGATCATACGAGGACGCCCCGCGATCGCTTAGCTTTAGTTTTTGACGGGGACCGGGGGGGGGACTGCATACTGCCTGCTGCGCGCAATGCCAACCCCCACGATCAGATCTTGCAACAACAAACAGAAAGCATGTTGCAACAACATCTGGGTCATGCGCGGACGCACCGCGATGATGTCGCACTGGTCTTTGATAAGAACGGCGGGGGGGGGTAACACACTCCCTACTGCGTGCAATGCCAACACACACACACACCTGCAAAGAGCAATAAGAAATGCACTCTGCACTAACATCTGGATCATGCGCGGACACCCCGCGCTCATCTTGCACTGGCTTCTACCAAGGACGTCGGGGAGGCTGCCATACTGCCTCCTACTGTGTGCAAGCCCATCGTCCTTTTCCACAAACGAGACAAGATCTCACTCACTCTGCCAGGGACGGCGGGGGGGGGGCGGCATACTGCCTCGCAAACGCGCGCGCCGTCACCCTGCAGTGTCTTTTTTTTATTATTATATATATACTATATATATGTATAAAGAAGGGGGCCCTGGGACACACAAACAAATACACACAAATCCCAGGATTCCCCATATTGCCGATGAATTGTGTCTGTGTGTGGCTTCCCCCTCTGACAGAGATGGTGAGAGGGTCGACGTGTTGCACAACCTGGCGGACCTGGTGCGCGGGGCGCACCCGGCATGTGCGGTGCACCTCGCGGGCGTCGCGCACCTGGCTGGCGCCTGCACTGGTTCCCGATGGCTGTCCATGGCGGCCCCTGCCTGTGCCGAGACCCGTGCAGGAATGAGCGAAACAGCTTGCGGCACTCTCGCTGGGAACTTAGGCTCTGCAAATATGCACCCCTTCCCCCACCCGACCGGCGACAAGCCCGGGACCCTGTCGACCCCCCCCCCGCCCATCCCTTGCAAGGACCAGTACAAAATGCACTCTGCACCAAATCTAGATCATGCGCGGACGCCCCGCGATCACGCAGCATCAGCTTCTGATGGGGACGGCGGGGGTGCTGGCATATTGCCCTGTGCGCGCAAGGCCAGCACACCCATTCCGTTCAAAAAAAACAATACCAAGTACGCTTTGCACCAAAATCTGGACCATGCGCGGACGCCCCGCGATCAGTGTCGATTGGTATGTGGCAGAGACGCCGAGGGCCGCAGCATACTGCCTGCTATGTGCAGTGCCGACACCCTCCAACCGTCACTTGCGAAGAACTATACAAAGCACAATGTGCACCAAAATCTGGATCGTGCACGGAAGCCCCGCGAGCATTTTGCATCGGCTTTTGACAGGGAAGTCGGGGGGAAGGCACACTGCCTGCTGTGCGCAGGCCCACCATTCCTTTCCACAAAAAATGCCAATGTCACTTTTCGAAGGACGGCGGGTGGGGCGGCATCCCGCCAGCTGCGCGCAGGCCTACTACCCCTGTCAAAACCAAGTGCAAAGCGATTGCGGGCGCACGCCCACACACACACACACACACACACACACACACACACACACACACACACACACACACGCACACACGCCCACACACACACACACACACACACACACACACACACACACACACACACACACACACACACACACACGCACGCACGCACGCACGCACGCACGCACGCACGCACGCACACACGCACGCACGCACACACACACACACACAATTCACAATGCTCGCAAACCCACCTTTATGTTGCATGTGTATTTGACAAGGACTGTGGGGCGGTCGACATTCCCGTGGGGCGCACCTGGTGCGTGTGGCGCACCTCGCGCGTGCGGCGCACCTCGCGGGCATCGCCCACCTGGCGTGTTCATTGACTCCCGATGGTTGTCGATGGCGACCCCTGTCTGCGCTGAAACTCGGGTACTACGTATGCAGTGGGAAGACGGGTGGGAGTGACACGGCTTGCAGCTTGGGACAGCTTGACCCTTCTCCCCACCCCCTCCCCCTCGACGGGGGCGGGCCCGAGCGGTCAGAGCATCCAAGGTGGCCTGAGGTAGCCCCAGAGCCCAAGATTCCCCCCCGAGATGGTTCAATATATCTCTGGACGGTTCTAAATGAAACTCAAGATGCCTCCAAAAGGCTCCAAGAACCCTCCAAGACGGGATCAAGTGGCCACGGAGCCTCCCAAGGAAGGATGCCCCCGAGAGGCCCAAAGCCGTCCAAAACCTGAGGATAACTACGTCCACTCTCGCCCGTCCGCTTCCGATGGGCTTGTGGGGCCTCAAGATGCCCCAAGATGGCCCAAGAGAGCCCCAGAGGCGGCCCAAGAGGGCTCCGAAACAGCCCCGAGATCGCCCAAGAGCGCACCAAGAGGGCCTCAAGGGGCTCCAGAGGGGCGGGGCTAACTGGGACCTCCCCTTCTTTGATCGATGTCCTCCAAGAAGGCCCCAAGGGGGCTCCCAGGTCTCCCAAAAGGCTGCAGAGGGCCTCAAGAGGGCCACAAGAGAGCTCCAGAGGCCTCCAGCGTGGCTGCAAGAGAGGTCCAAGAAAGCCCGAGCAAGCTGCCAAGAGACTCCGATATCGAATGACATGCGAAGACAAGCTGGCTGACGCCAGGGTCTGCTTTTGCGGATCCCGAGCTTCGGTTTGACCACTGACCCCCTCGTTCCGCTGCGTGCTCCTGCACACTCCCCATCAAATCGCCGAGGCTTCGTTTCCAGATGGGTCTGCAGGACCATGCAGATCCAGCGAGACCTCGCGGCTCCCTGTGGGCTGCGGACTGCGCAACGGTCGCCACGTTCGTGGGCTCCCAGGAGGCACGGCGGAGTGGTGTCCTACGCGGATCCAGACGAGACCTCGCTGCTCCCTGCGGGGCTGCGAGCTGCGCAACTGTCTCAACGTTCTTGTGCTCCTGTGAGGCCCACCGTAGCGACGTCCAGCGGTCATCTCCCGTAAGCCATACAACACACAAACTGCCCGGTTAGATCCCGCAATACATGTCACTCGGTACCATGCATCTTGAATGATAGTTTGACCCATTGGCGCGGTCACTCGTTGCACGTGGGTTGGGTACGTCGAAAGGTAATGATAACAAGATGTGCGTTCAGCGGTGCCCGAACCAGCTGCCGATTCTTACGCAGAGTACCGCGCCCATGACCTGCTGCCAGAAGATGTATCTGTTCCTCCTCCACTCAGGGGTCCCCCAAAAAGACAGTGACCGCGCAATCGGTGAATTCGGGATCGGTTTCGGACGTACCTCAGTTTCTGAGTATTGTGCTTGGAAATCACACTTACGACATGCTCCTAGATTATGTCTCTGTTGGACCTGATTCGCCATGCGACAGTGAATCGCGTCAGAGTGAGTGGACGGTTGGGGACTTGGTCGGTCCTTCGCATGGGCGCTCGGCTACTGCTCTTCATGGACATGTCACTCGCAACCATACAACAAGTGCGACAGCGAAACTCACGAAAATGCAGATGCGTCTTTCGCAAGTCGATCAAACATATGAATACCGCGTTCGACACAGAGTGCACGTGCTTCGCGGGCAGAAAAGGCACAATCATCGTCGGACTGGGCATCGAAATCGAAACAACCATGTACTCGGGTAACCAAACCACACCGCCCCTGCGCGAAAGAATGCTTCCGTCAATAATTCACGATCGCATGCCCAGTGTAAGTGCCCGTCTGACGGATTTTCGAACGTACTAGTACTAGGCTGAGCATGCCTGCCAGTGTCCAAACAGATATGTGCACGCCGCCCCCCTTCAACTGAAATGCCCGAACTCACTCGCAGCACGCTCCCCGCACCCCCACAGCCGAGACGCCCCCCAATGACCTCCCCAAGACACTCGATCATCACGGAACGCGCTCATGAATCCCTCTGTTTGGGGGGGGGGGGGGGGCGGAATAGCTGGCGGTGACCGCCGAAGGAAGTGTAGCACACGAGCCGTATGCGAGCCGTCGACATTCGAATCCCACCCCCCACAGCCACCCCACCCCACCCTTCTACAAAAAAACAAGGGCTGACATGAGAGCTCCGCGATAGCAGCAGAGGAGGGAGAAGAGCGAAGGACGAGGAAGACGAAGACGAAGACGAAGGCGGTACAGATGCCTCCACCGCTAATGAGTTGTGCTCCTCGATGAACTTCTGGTTGTCGGCGATGCTAGGGACGGCCGTGGTGATAAACAGCTTGGTCATGAGAAGGGCGTGCTCGAAAAACAGAAACCTTCCAGCTGTAATCGCATTATGCTCCTCTTCTGCTCCTTCTCCTCCTCACATCTGTCCTCATCCTTCTGCTCTTCCTCCCGTCTCTCCTCCTCAACCATCCTTCCCCATCTCATTCCCCCTTCCCCTCCCCGAAGAGGGGAGGAGGGAGGAGGTGAGAAGGGGAGGGGGGAAGGAACAGGGAGAAGAAGCAGGGAGCAGAGAGAACGGGGGGGCCGAAGAGAAGACGAGCGGGAGGAAGGGGAGGAAGAGGAAGGGAGGAGGACGCATGATTATCGACCCCCCAGCGAGCCAGGTCAGCTTGTACGGCGGTGGCAGAGTCCTGAGAGGCTTCATCACGAAGCAAGCCTCTCCCACGTTGACAAGTACCTTTGGAGTGCAAGCTCGCCGTGCATCATCGTCCTCCCCTCATGTTCCCCCTCTTCATCCTCTCCCTCCTCCCTTCTCATGCTTCTCCCTCCACGTGCTCTTCCTCCTTCTATTACTCCTCATTATCCTCCTCCGTCTTGTCCTCCTCCTCCTCATCCCCATCCTCATCATCATCATCCTCCTCATCATCATCAGCAGCATCATCAGCATCAGCATCCTCATCATCAGCATCAGCATCATCAGCAACAGCATCAGCATCATCATCATCAGCATCATCATCAGCAGCATCATCAACAGCATCATCATCAGCAACATCAGCATCATCATCATCATCATCATCATCATCATCATCATCATCAGCAGCAGCAGCAGCAGCTTCAGTATCAGCACTATCCTCCCCTTGGCTCCTCACCATCAATCTCAACATCACCCCTTGCCCTCCTCTTGCTCTCCCGCTCCCCCCTTCTCCTCCTGCCCATACCATCCCACCGCCCCACACCCCAGGGCGCCCCCACGAATGTGATGATCTGCACGATGTCCCCCCAGGCGCCGAACCCCTCCTGAGACGCCGTGCCGCCGGGGGGGAGGGGAAGGCAAGAGGGGGGGAGAGAGAGAGGAACGAGGGAGGAGGGAGAGCGGAATGGGACGGGCTAGGCGCGCTCGCGCCATGCCTGACATCCAACCCCCTCCAGCCCGTCCCTTCCCATGGCGCTGTTTTTGCCTCTATCTGCCGATGCGTCTCATGGCGGATCTGGAACTCCGAAATCTTGACCCCCATCGTGTCATGCGCAATCGGAAGAGGGGAGCTGCAGCATTGGAGGAGAAGTTGGCGGATGAGCAGAAGAATGAGCAGAATGAAATGGGGAGGATGAAGAAGGAGGAGGACGAGAACGAACAGCAGCAGGAGCTGGAGGGGAAGGAGCAGGAGGAGCAGGATGACCAGAAGGCGGAGGAGGAGAGAGGAGGGGGGCGATAATGATGAGGAAAGATTCGGATCCAGAAAAGCGGACCGCGCTGGGGCGAGAGCGCAGTTCTGAACGACGGGAGCGAAGCGCCGATGCTCAAATGACGCCCACGCTGCAGCAAGAACACCATACTGAAACACTGAAAACGCTCCAGTCGGAAAATACGACAGGAAGGACCACCTCACAAAATCCTGCGAAGAAAACAACAAACGCGGAGAGGGCGGGTCATTGTCCGCACCAGAATCAGGGGAGAAGGGAGAGTAGTACTCAGAGGGAGCAATCGTGGAGTGGGAGGGGGAAGGGAGAGTAGTACTCATGTTGGGCAATGGTGGAGTGGGGGGGGGGAGGGGGGGAGGGGAGGGGAGAAAGAGAACGAGGGGACCCCAAACTGCAGGAGCCGCTCGCCAAGGTACGCCGTCGTCTGCTGCGCACCGAGGAGCCGAGAGAGCAGGGGCGCAGGGCGCCCCGCACAAGCCGGCGCGCCGGGCCGCCTCCGTCTGCCGTGCCCGGTCTGCACTGCCTGCTCCTGCTGCTGCTCCTCCTCCTCCTCTTCTCCTCCTCCTCCTCCTCCTCCTCCTCCCTCCTCCTCCTCCCCTCCTCCTCCTCCTCCTCCTCCTCCTCCTCCTCCTCCTCCTCCTCCTCCCCCTCCGCCTCCTCCTCCTCCTCCTCCTCCGCCTCGTCCGCCTCCGCCTCCTCCGCCTCCTCCGCCTCCGCCTCCTCCTCCTCCACCTCCTCTGCTGCGGCTCCTCCTGCTCGTCCCACCCCTGCTGCTCTCCCACTGCGCCTGAGCCACTGGACGGCCTCTCGAGCCGATGAGTTTGCAGAGTGCGCCGGACACGCGCTGGCAGCGCGCGCTGACGCCCGGGGCGGGCTGGGCGCCGAGCTCGAGGGCCGGGCTGGCAGCCTCGGGCCCGGTGGCGTTTGGAGCAGGGCAGGAATTGTCCTGTGGCAGCAGGGCAGCCACACACCACCTCCGATAGGGGTGGCGCAGTGGGTCGTGGCAGGGATGGTAACATCATCATCATCATCATCATCATCATCATCAGCATCAGCATCAGCATCATCAACAACAGCGACAACATCCAGAACAACAATAACAACAACAACAACAACAACAACAACAACAACAACAACAACAACAACGACAACGGCAGCGACAACGACAACGACAACGACATCGACAACAACAACAACAACAACAACAACAACAACAACAACAACAGCATCAACAGCATCATCACCATCGTCAGCATCAACATCATCCACAACGACAATAACAACATCAACATCAACATCAACAGCATCGTCAACAGCAACGACAACAACAACATCAGAACCACCATCAGCATCATCAAAGACAATGACAACAAGAACCACAACATTAACATCAACATCGTCATCATCATCAGCAGCCACATCATCAACAACAGCGACGACAACAACAGCAACAACATCAACATCATGATCAGCATCAGCATCAGCATCACCATCGACAACAACAGCATCGACAACAACATCATCATCGTCAACAACAACGGCAACAACAACAACAACAACATCAACAACATCATCAGCATTATCACCAAAGGCAACAACAACGTCCACATCAACAACATCATCATCACCAGCATCATCAGCAACAAAAGCGACGATAACAACAACAGCAACAATCTCAACTTCATAATCATCAACACCAGCATAAACAACGACAACAACATCAACATCCAAATCATCATCACCGTCAACAACAACGACAACAACAACATAGTCATCCACAGAATCGCCATAAACAACGGCAGCAAAAGCAACAACATTAACATCAACTTCATCAGCAGCGTCATCAACCTCATCAACAGCAGCGACGACAACGACAGCAACAGCAACATCATTGACACCATTTTAACATCAACATCACCATCACGAGCAACAACCACAACAACACCAACATCATCAGCTTCATCGTTAAAAACAACGGCAGCAACAACAACAACAACAACATTAACATCAACAAGATCATCATCATCAGCAGCATCACCAACCACACTGACGACAAAAACAACAACAGCAACACCATCAACATCATTATCATCAGCATCAGTATAACCAACAACGACAACAACAACAACAACATCGACATCAACATCATCATCATCGTCATCAACAACGGCAACAACAAGAACAGCCTCATCACCATCAGCATCATCACAAAAAACGACAACAGCAACATTCTCATCAACAACATAATCTCCAACATCATCAACACCAACAGCGACGACAACAACAACAGCAACAACATCATCAACATCATCACCAACACCATCATCACCAACAACGACAACAACAACATCAACATCAACATCATCATTACCACCGTCAACCACAAAAACGATTACAATATCAACGTCAGCCACCGTCAACGTCAACAACATCAGCATCAGCAGCATCATCGCAAAACATAGCGATAACAACAACATCAACATCAACATCGACATCAACAGAATCAGCATCACCATCATCATCAAAAAATACAACAACACCAATATCATCATCATCATCATCAACATCATCAGAAGCAGCATCCCCATCACAACAACATCAACATCAACAGCATCAACACCATCATCACCAACAACAACGACAACAGCAACATCAACATCAACATCATCATCGTCGTCATCGCCATTATGATCACCATCACGACCACAATCATCATTACCATCATCGTCACCATCATCATCATCGTTTCCATCATCATCATCATCACCACCACGAGCGTCATCGTCATCGTCATCGCTATCGTCACCACCACCATCACCACTACCATAGCCATCATCATAATCAGTAAAATGATAATGATGACAATGATAATCATCAGCATCATCATCACCATCATCATGTTCACCATCAGAATCATCAGAAACAGCATCATCATCATCGCTGGCATCGTCATCAGCAGCATCAGAATGATCAACAACAACGACAACAAAAACATCAACATCATCATCACAATCAATGTCGTCATCATCATCACCATCACCACCACCATCATCATCATCATTATCTTCACCCGTGTCATCATCCTCGTCGTCATCGTCATCATCATCACCACCATCGTCATCTTCACCGTCGTCGCCGTCGTCACCACCACATTCACCACAACCACCACCATCAGCATAATAATTGAAATGGTAATAATAAGAACACCATCACCATCAGCATCATCATAATCATCATCATCAGCATCATCATCAGCATCGTCATCGTCATCATCATCATTATCATTATCATTATCAGTATCCGCATCATCATCACAATCACAGCATCGCCATCATCTTCGTCAGCACCACTATCATTATCATTATCATTATCAGCATCATCATAATCCGCATCATCATAATTATCACCATCATCGCCATAGTCATCGCAATCGCCATCGTCATCATCATCCGCATCCTCAGCATCACCATCAACATCATCACCATTTACAAGCATCATCGTAATCCTCCTTCTCCTCCTCCTCATCATCCGCCTCAACATCATCAGCAAAATCATCATCAGCAGCATCATCCTCATCGGTTTCGTCATCGCTATCATCACCATCATCCTCATCGCCATAATCAGTAGCATCAGCAGCATCATCATCAGCAGCATCGGCAGCATCAGCATCACCAGTAGCAGCACCATCATGTTCACCGACAGCATGATCATCATTAGTATGAGTACCCGATTCATCATCAGCATCATGATCGGCATCATCACTCCATGCTCATACTGATCAGCATTAGCATGATCAGCTTCAGCATCATCAGCATCGTTGTCATCATCATCACCATCATTATCGTTGTCGTCATCATCGTGAGCAGCATCAGCATCATCAACATGATCATCACGATCATGAACATCATCATCATCACCATCGTCATCTTCATCATCATCAGCATCACCAGCATCATCCTCATCATCATCATCAGCATCACCATCATCATCACCAGCATAATCTTCTACATGGTCATCGTCATCGTCATCAGCATCCATCGTCATCACTACCATGATCAGTACACTCCTCAGCCTTATTCTCCTTCGCCTCATCATCATCAGCATCAGCATCATCATCAGAAGCAACAGCATCATCATCGGCATCATCATCATCAGCAGCATCATCAGCATCATAATCATCAGCAGCATCATCATCATCCTCGGCATCGCAATCATCATCATCATGACCAACATCATCGTCATCATCATCATCATCATCACCACCATCATCATCATCATCATCATCATCATCAATATCATCATCATCATCATCAACAACATCATCGTCATCCTCGGAATCAATCACCATCACCACGTCCATCATAATCACCATCATCATCATCATCATCATCGTCATCATCATCATCATCATCATCATTATCATCACCAGCATCATCAACATCGTCATCATCACCAGCATCAGCATCATCATCACCATCATCAGCATCATGGTTATCATCAGCATCATGTTCATCATCATCAGGATCATCATCGACATCATCCTTATCATCAGCAGCATCACCAGTATCATCGGCATTCACGTCATCATCGGCATCAGC